GATTCAGAAAAATATAGTTCGAACCTTCCATCTTGCAATACAAGCACAAAAAGTCAATTTCATCAAAGAGGACGGTTTTTTGTATTTTTGAGGTCTTCTCAGTAATTTGAGTTTTACTCCACGAAGACTGACTTTTGGAGGCTCGGAAGATGTTATTCGTAATCAGCTCGTTAAACTGAATCTGAATATGTATAATAAAGTCAAAAATAAATTCCACTGTAAGTTTGCATTAGCTGCACCTTAGAACCTCTAGAAAGCCAGATTTTCATCTCATTAATTCAGAAAATGTATTTTTCGTTTACTGCCTCGTTGAAGTGCTCATAGCTGCTGATAGTTATAGTACGAAAACGTTTACTTAGAGACGTGAAAACATTGCCACGTTACTCAGCGCATGCGAAAACCTACAAATCGAATAAATTTCGAAGAAGTCTAATCGAAAAAAGCGTTCTGGAGGCAGTCTCAGGAAATGTCCCGTAACGTCCGAACCTTGAAAGGTACGAATTTGAAAGTGACCAGGTTTTGTAGAGCAAGAGCTGGTGGCTCGGATCCCCTATTCAGACTTTTTTTGAATTTGTTTTAGTGGTGTGACATCTTTTGCAAAACGTCTTCGCAAGGTTTACCACCTGCAGGGAGCTTTGGGCCAAAACTTTTTGATTTTTCTTGTAGCCCCAACATTTCGCTTTCGAACACTGAAAAACGCAGCTTTATAGCTACTTTCTAGAAAAAGTTATTGAGAAAATGGCCGTGGTCTTTCTTTTTTGAAATGGATAGTAGTTCTGTTACCCTTGAACTGTTGGGACAAGTCGATGTAAAGGTCTTTGTAAACGTGGTACATTTCAAAAGAACAATGCAGTTCCCTGTCTTTCTTTTTGGGAAAGTAACAGCTTTCCATTCGCTAAAGAAAGGAAAGTCAGGTTTTACTTTCTTTTCTTTTTGGAAAGGAACGAAAAAGTGCCCTACGCCCTATAAGAATCGTGCATGTTAGATGCTTTTCTCGTTCTTCGCTCTACTGCTACTCTATACCGTAGATCATGCCTAACCCTCCTTCCGATTATAGAAAACCATCTGACCTTTTATTGCAAATCAAACTTTTACAAAAGAGTGGTTTCATTATGATTTCAACTACTGTCCAGGTATATTCAAAGTTCTTAACTGATATTCACGAGCATACTGTTGTTTAAACAAATGACAAACACTATCATTATCGTCAGTATGCGGTAGATCTGCTTGTGTTATTAACTTCCATACTTTCAAACGATATTCAGTTTGACCAGTTCCTTCAATAATATCAGCTAACGCAGAGAAAATCGATTTGATAATTGGATCATCTGGCGTTAGATAAAAGTTATTCTTATCAAGTTCTTCCTGAAAAAAGTCGAATGCCTTATTACACTCATCCAAATGTTCATAGGTAGAAGCAATTCCATTTAATGTCCTTGATATTGATGCGTGATCGCCTGGTGAAAATTTTCTTCTTGCGGCAAGTTCTTTAAAGCTATATTGCAACACAGAGTCATATTTAGATTTGCGTTTGTAGACGTAACAGACAACAGACAATGTTTTAGCCATTGTATGAGCATGAATAGCTGGCAGTTTTTCAATTATTTCCAGTGCTCGTAGTAAATAATCTTCTGCTTTTTCATCTATTCGTATATGTGTATAGAGTCTGTCGATATAGCTCAATGTGCTACCAATACTTGGATGATCTGATGGTAATGAACATACATTTACGTCTAATGCTTGTAGATAATATATTAAAGCTTTATCCAAGGATCGTAAATTTTCGTACAAATTTGCAATTTTTCGTAATGTCTTGCCTGTAGCTGGGTGTTTTTCAGGTAATGTTTTTTCTCTAATGTCCAGTGCTTGTGTAAGATAATCTAAAGCGATATCAAATTTCTTTTTTTCATAGTATACACTGCCAATATTAGTCAAAGTGTCAGCAATTTCTCGATTGTATGTGTTAGGAAATTGTTTCATTATATCAAAAGCTCGTTCAAAATACTCCAAAGCTCGATCTAATTCATTTTTTTGCTCGATAAATGGCACCAATATTATTCAGTGGTCGTGCAATATGTTTAATACATGGTGGTTTATTATTTATTAATAAATCATAACAATGATTATAACTTTCTAACGCTTTTTCTAAATTCTTCATACCATGATATGCATGTCCAATACCATTATAAATACGAGCAATATCTTCGTTGTCTTGAATATTCTCTTTTAAGTTTTTAAAATATTTGTAAGCCTTTTTATGTTCACCCATTTCATTCAGAAGTTTTCCAAATAAAATAGGAACACTTGTTTCATTCATTTCTTGTTTATTTAGCTCAATATAATCGCTTGCTAGTTTTACTCCGTCATCCGTTAAACTCATGTTTACCGTCCAAATTTTGTTATCATCGTCATATAAAATGGCTGTAATTTTAAATGTAGCACCTAAATCAAATAAAATTTCCTGTTCTTCGCTGAAAACACTTTGAAACGAAATATTAGCAAACGATACGGTATCTAGACGCAAATCAACTCTAATTTCAAATAACACTAGTGCTTTATCAGTTCTTTTTGAGTATGTAGATAAAAAATTCTTTGCAATAGTAGGTAAAGTACTTGTGGATAAATATCCGTTCGTTGATATTAATTCACATTTTTTTAACTTTTGTAATTCGTGATTCGGGATTGGGAGTTGTAGGACAACCGTGTAGAGAGTTTCTAGATTTTACATATTATCCTATTGTTACGATACAATAGCATCAGGAAGGAGAGAAGTGACCACGTTGGTAACTGAACAGTGCTTATAGTTCCGCGGTACACTATAATCATTGACGATGATCGCTCTTTCTCATCTTGCCACATCGTCTTATGAGCCTCAGCTAGACTAGAGCAAAGATCAGCAATAAAAAAGCCAAATGTATATAACTGGTCAATATCCTCTGTACGTAAAGCTATATTCACAAGTTTATAAAGAAAACAATCTTTAGTATACCATTTAATGGCGTCACTTGATTTATATGTCTTATCAAATTCTTTAATAGATTGTAATTCTTGAATATCTCCATGATAATATTCCTGACATTTTTCAATCATTCGTTTTTTTGCTTGATCATCGCGTGGCATATTAATAATAACATGTTTAAATATTTGAAACCACAAGAATTTCGCACTATCTTTGTTTAGATCTCTTGCAGAGTTTTGATTTTTGTCCATAAATGTTAATGTTTCTAGTTGTATGTGAATAAGTTGAGCTGTCTTTTGAATATTTTGAACAAGATCACTTTCATTTGTAAATATTCCAATAATTTTTGAATATTTATCAATTAATGGTAGACTTTCGTGATTATTACAACAAAAAATGAATACTGAATCAACTTGTGTTAGACGATGAACAACAGGCAAAATATGCGACGCACACGAGCCGGATGTAATAAAAAATACTTTTTCGTGAATTAATTTTACATCATCAATGCATTCTTGTTTATCTGTATAAAGCAGTAACTGATTACTATTTGTCTTTTGTAATGGCGGTTGTTTAATCTTAATATCTGTATCATACATTACTATAATTATACCTTCTTTGTTTGAAAAATTTGTACTTAATATTTCATCGTAAATGAGATTTTGTAAGGGTTCAACCGCAACAATCTTATCTGCTACAACTAAAAATGTAGTGAGAGCAATTAGGTATGTACCAATACAATATATTGTCTCTCTATAATATTGGTCATCCAATATATTGGATTTTACAATATTAGTGGGCACTGGGTAGAAAAATGTTTGCTCTCCAAACTAAAGTGCAGGAAGCAATTTTAATGTTATCTGTGGCAGAAGTATAAGCATCCAAAACTGAGCAAAATTGTGAATCGACTATCGATTATTTTTCTGAAATTTTATTGCGTTTTCGATTTATTATATATTTTCTCTATATACAATCTTAAAAGCTTTCTAGCACTTCAGTTCGGTAGAGCAAACATTTTGCTACGAAATGAACCTTCGGCAGCTCTAAGTGCTTTTTTATAACTGATGCGGAACGACTTTGCTGAATGTCTTAACATCGATTATTAATCGATACATGCCTAATCCTGATCGCGATACATTTTTATATCCCAGTTGAGATATACATCCTGATTGGAATATGCTTCCTCACGTTTTTATGAATATAAATGATATTAAGGCGATACTACCCAGTATTATTATACAATGTTATGGGTGACCAATATTATTGGTTCCAATATATTGGGTATTTAATAATCCTGGGTCTCTATATTATTGTATACCCCATATGTCGGGACCCAACACAATTGAATACCCAATAATATTGTACAATATCTTCAATAATGATTGGTATTCGTGTATGCCTTAGAGCAATCAGAAAGCATAGAGAAAGAAGAAACGTATCTAAACATCGCAGGGTATTGCGCAATAAGGAATTTAATAAAATTCTCGTTTCAATAGATGTCATATATTTTAATGCTTTAATGCTTTTCGAACTCATACGTTGATAAATGATCAACATTTTCAGCTAGAAAAAACAAAACTCGAAAACGTTAAAGTAGTCGGATAGGATAGAAATACATATCGTTCGACTCAGTTTTTGAATCTCGATCTCGAATATGATATTTTTGTTCCATAGAAGTTGCGTTCTGTTAGAGAAAATCGAGAACTACGGGCAGAATTCAGCTTTTTCGCCTTTGATTTAGAAAAATGATTTTCCTCAACATAGAAAACGAAAATTAAAAAGAGCGATAGGAATTTTTGTAGCGCGTCAAACGGTGGTTCGAACGATATAAGAGTGAAGGGTTTATGTATCAGCCAAGGAAACTAGACAGGTTTGCAGAACTATGTTGCCCAAACGGAGCACTGTTGATGGCTGATTTTGTAGTTTCGACACTATGTGCGTGCAGACGTTCTAGACCACATGGCTAGATGCAGTTTCATGCGCGGAATCCAAATATCACGTTGGAGAGCGCGAAACCTTGGACGGAGAGGAGAAAAACTCGTTGTTTTCAAAAGTCATTTTTTTCGACCTTTTATACCGCAGTATTCTGTGTTTTTCTCCTTGAAAACTCGATCAAAATGGAAAAAAGAAGGTTAGATTCGTAATCAGCAGCTAAAGGCAAATCAGAATATGTGATGAGTTTGAAAGAAAAATAAAACTTACGGAAACCTTCAATTACCCGCACCTTACATTGATGAATTTTTGCAAAAATAGATAATACACTTTCAGCAGGCAATTATACCATATAAAAGCTTCTTACAAGTGCAGCCGACTTTTGAGAAAGTTTTACGGATCTTGACGCCACTAAGGATTTTCCTTCGAAAAGATTGCTTCACTAGACAGATGCATATTCTTAAACAATAATTTTTCTGTGAATTTTCTTGACATTGAGACAAAAGTAATTTACACCGAGAAAGGTGTTGGAAGATAAATCAACCGTATGCTTTAATGTTAATTAAAACGATAGAAAAAGTTTTAGAAAATATTTAGTGTAAACCTATAAATTTCACACGAAGGTGGGAGGCTGCTCCTAAAATCTAACGTGAATTTTTTAACGGTGCTGTCCTATTCATTCACTCTATGTTGTGTAAAATACATATCACAGCTTTTACCTTCTTCATTCAATACTTCTGTTGTTTTATCTATGCTAATTGGTATCTGATCTGACTGGTTTTGTAATGAGTGATGAATCACTGAAGGATTTTTGTTGATTGTCGTGCATACATTTCCCATGATCTAGACAAGAAACTCCAGTTAGCCTTGATAAGCGTATATGTCGACAGAAAAAAAAGAAAAAACTATACTTTTTATGAATGCTGTTTGTGAATGAAGTGTTTGCTTTTAAAGGTAAACAGACAGACGGAGAATAAAAATTACATACCTGTAACTCACACAAATCGAAGAAACAAAATTCTTATTCAACTTTTTTTCTGGTTTGTTATCAGCAATGTTTGTGTGTAAATTTAATCTCTTTTAAGACATGTTTTATGGCAACACTATGAAAATATATAATATGGTCAAAATTAATTTTTTAATTTAACTATAGAAGTCTCTCTTTCTTCTACTTATCTGTGTTTCTTTCTACTGATGTTATAGTAAGAGTATGCTAGAGAAACTCGTTCTTGTCATTTTATCTCTACAGACATACACACACACAAATTGTTACATCGAAATGACGCAATTAGTCTGTTTCCTACTAATACAGAAGATGATAAAATCTAGTCCTCACAAAAATGCACATGGGTTATTCTTTGGAGAACGTACCATGTTTACATCGACTTTGTCCGGATAGTTCGAGAATACTCAAGACTAGTAGAACTTTTTTCGAAAAGTAGGCCCTTTTTGTAAACCAGTTTTTCTAATAGCCCATGTCGAGTGCATGTGAGATATATGTCATTCGATGTTCTGGAGCTCCATAGAATGGTGCAGCATGTCCTCAGACTTTGAAAAACGAGGAAAATCGCTTTTAAGATCTGTTTTTTCTATCATTAAATGTTTTCTGAGAGCAATGCGAAGTCCTTCATCGGATAAAGCTTGAAACGGCGCGTCAAATGCATATCTTGTTGTCTTGTATTGATATGACTTTATGAGGGAAAACCGGTTTACAAAAAGCGCGTAGTTTTCGGGAAAAACGACCTTTTTAAACATTGTCCTGAGAACGTGCTTAACATTTTGGACCTTTTTGTCTGCTACTGACTTTGTAGATTTGCACATATAGCACCTAATCCGACAGTACCAGTCTATGAAAGTGTTTCACTAAAAAAGGATGAAAATGCCTACAAAAGGAGTGTTCTGCTGGGAAATGGGATTTCCACAGGTCTAGAAGACCGCCATGCCGTTGTTTCAACATTTTTTGAGATGTGATCTTCGTCATCAGGAGCCCGAGTTTTACTAGTCCTGTTACTCTCGAACAATCCGGACAAAGCCGATGTTAACTCTGGTACACTTTCAAAAGAATCACCCGCGTTGGACTTGACCAGTCCAAGACACGATCAGTATCTTTCCGCATCTTTTCAAAATAAAAGTGATAGTCAGAGAAATGTCATGTCTTTATTAAAATAAGATCATAGTGTAGATGATTGTTAAAAGTACGCATCCTCCCTCGTCTCTAACTAAAAGCTCAATTTCGTCGGTCAAACGCGTATATACACGAGTATGCATATTTAACCTGAATCAAGGAAAGGGCACATACCATGGTAGAAGATGGTGTGATTCGTTTCACCAAAAACAGTAAAAGAAAAAAGTACCTAGCTTAGCCTCTAAGGACTTCTTACTAACAAACTAAGTCAAATGGGTTGAAATATCGTAGGACGGTATTATCTAGACAGAAAAATTATTTTATTTGTTGTCACACTCCGATATGTCGCATCGTAACAGATTTGTATCAAGATACATCTGGATAGTGCACAGTGTGCCAACAACGTGGACATTTGGGGGAAAAACGAAAGTGACTTTTTTCAAGATTCAACCAGTGACCAATATGCACTATAAAATGCCTGATTTAATGGTGAAAAAAATTTGATCGAAGTACTTACTTCCGCCGAGAAAAGTAAGTGCTAAAATGTGGTCGTTTTCGCGTGTTTCGTCGAAAAAAACGTTTTTTGGCAGCAGAACACAAAACTGAATAAATGAAACCGATACATTGTGAAAGAAGAACAGCTAGACTATTGATTCATAAAAAAGTAATTGAATTTAACTTGGTTTTTTCCGAATCAGCATCTGCGTTAGATTTTCAGATAAGCGGTTGGCAAAAATTGGATGTATATCCCCTAACGGGGTGTCTTCAAAGGCTTCAGTCCACATTTGATGAAATTTGG